TATGCCTCCTAGCAAAACAAAACCTAAGAACCTTGCTTCTGGAGATGCAAGTCGTTAAGAGCAGATGCCATCAATTGCTCCCCAGTAACTGATCTACACTGTTTGACGAAATCATCTCTCGCCAGCTTTCCACCCTGCAACATTGAGAAATACCGAAAACATTTTATTCTTAGATTACGTTTTATTGTTCCTATCTTTCATAACCCACAGAGAGACAATATGACCCACAATTCTGAACCGGTGAAAAGAAGATTAACCTTCAACTCGCAAACCAGAGAAGACAGTTCCTGAACTTTAGAAGGAGGAAGGTAGCTCTGAATCTTCGAAATTAACATATCCACAGGGTATGCTCTTCGCACCGAACCTCCCAATTGAGCTGAAATTCACAAAACAAAACCAGTTATCATCAATGAAACAAAATAACACAAAAAAACAACCGTAACAAATAGAATCGAAAGAAACATACCTGGCACATAATTCGATTTGTAGCTCACAACACACTCGGGAAGAACGTGTCTATTCATGTTGGTCGACCATATCACATACCACTTAGGATTCATAGGGTGATCTGCGCCATTATCGAATTCCACACTAGAAGGGTAGCATTGCTTAGAACCTGCCTCAATTTTTTCAACACTGCCTAGTATAACCCGGCACAAAATAGCATATTTTTCGCCATTATCATCCCGCTCCGACTGCCCAGAACTGCAGAATTCAGCCATTACAATATCAAATTATGAACAATTCAAAAGGAATCTTGGGCAATGGGCACCCTCGACTATACTGCGGCAGTAATATCTCCAAGTCAAAGCCGTATAAACGAGAAATGGAGATGGAGAATGAGGGCCATTTGGTCACATAATTCCAATTGGGTTTTTGGTATTGTTGAAATGAAACACAAATTTGAAATTACCTCAGGAAAGGCACCGATAAATGCGAAAGGTGAAGACCGACGCCATGCGACTGCGGCCCAGAAACCTTGCTGGGTGCGCCGAACCCATGTGTCAAAATGCCTCTCACATCGCTGCCCGAGACGCCGCACCAGGCGTATACAACATTGGCCGAGCCCCGAGCCTTCTTGGTGATCTCAATCTGCTTCTGAAACACCTCCAATCGAGCCTTCTCCAACGGCCCGTCACGAACGCACTGATGAACTGCCGTCACAGCAGCCGAGAGATCGACCTTCCTCATCCCCGCGAGAAACAAATTGCTGCACACTGTGTAAACCCTCTCAACTCCTCCCACCAACCTCACATTCGGCCACTCCGAACTCCGTGGCCTTATCGACGATGTCACTTCGTCCTCATCCGCCGGCTCTTCCTCCGTCTGCCTCTTGCCCAAAACCCGACCCGATACATTGACCCGTCGGTTGATTTGGACCTTCGGACTATCCGACCCGTCCACCAAATCCTCGCTGACAAACGCCCTAGGGAAGAAGGGCCTGCCGTTCATGTCAATCCAAGCGATCGATCTCTGACTCCCAGCGCCCAAATCAATCTGTAACATTCGCACAAAGTCAAACAACACCGTTGACCCCTCCATTTCAACGCTGACCACCGCCTTGCGCTCCGCGAAACCTGCACGCAGAAATTCGACGATCGGGTTCGGCAAGTCGTTCCAGGACTCGTTCTGGAAAAACATGACCCGGGCTGGGGCGGCGCTCCGCTTGAAATTGGAGGGGTAGTGCATCCGATTGGATGTCCGATTGCAGAAGTTTTTAGAGCTCGCTGAGGAAGACGACGGCGAGAGGATCCGCTTCGGAACCCTAACAGTGACCGATTGGAGGATTTTCTTGGGGGAGGTGGCGGCGTAGGAAGCCATGGATTCTACTGCGTAGAGCTTTTCGAGCTAATGCGACGGCCTCACAGAACTCGAAGAACTCGTAGAATCAGGGGACATCGCGTTGGCGTACGGTTTTTATCGCGGGAATTTGGGGTTGTAGGAAATTACTAGAACGCCCCCTTGAAGGCGGTGCTTTTTGTTCGAATGGTTCGAGTTGACGAAAGGGTATGCGAGGTAATTTGCGCGTGGGTTTATGAGGCTGGCGATTCGGTTTACTTCGGCCCAAAGGAAATGAATTGAAGAGAGAGAAAAAGAGATGAGAGAGAGAGAGAGACCGTTGGAATGGATTAATGATGTGGATCTGGTAATATGAATGAGTTTTTATAGTGCACAAGGCGGAAGGAAATCCTATTGCGACAAGAAATCCCATTCTTACTAGGAAAATGAATAAAAAAACGGTTACATAAAAACGTGCATGGCACGTGACAAGGGAAATTATGAGGGAAAAATGGAAAAGTGAGAAAGTGAAAAGTTATAGGTTATGCAAGTGACATTCCACTGCGGTAGCAAAGAGAAGTGTTGTATTTTGCATCACAGTGTGGGTTCGAACTCCGTTGACTTTCTAATCTAATATTTAATCTAACAAATTTTTCTCTTTAAACCCTAATTTACTACTTAATATTCCCCATAAACCCAATTCAATATGTTGATTTATTTTTACACCCATTTGATTTTTACTAGGAGTTGAACGCGCCAGACTAAGAGGAGAAAGTGGTGGATGGATTTTATGATGTACATGGACTTTCCCCAGATTTAGCAATTCAAGGAAAAATGCCATCTTTCGCAAATCTTGAAACAAACCTTGGGAGTTCTGGATTCAAAGTTTCATTAGTAAATTGAAAAGTTGATCCTGTCTTGGAAGAGTTGGTGCAAATTGCACAGTGTATTGCTTTAGACTGTCCTGTCACCAATGTTGGTGTTTTAGTTCAGAGGCTTGCTGAACTCATTAGCGAACGTATGGGTGGGCCTGTAAAGGATGCAAATGTCGTATTAGCGAGATGGATGGGAAGAAGCACAGAGTTGAGTACATCGATGTAAACTAGTGTGCTGCCTATTGGATCCATAACTGTTGATAAACAAAGAGTGATCGTAAGATTTAATTATAATGTTTGAGTTTATTGATAAATTTGAGTTTTATTATTAATTTTATTTTGTACTTAATAGTAATTAAGCAATAGAGTAAAACAGACAATTAACATTTAAAATTTAAGTTGGGTGCAAAAAGATGTTACATGGGTTTAAATAAAATTTTCCGGTGAAAAATGAGAGCCTCACAATAGGCTAGTAATAATGTGGTTCAAGTTCGCATTTTGCGAAAATCAAACATAACACCTCTTACTTAGAAATAAGCCTAAACCTTATTTGTTAAGTACTTTCAGGGTTGTTTTTTTATTTATTTTTATTTTTTTAAGTAAAAACTAAAAAATAAAATCTCAATGTCAAATTTAAAAGCTCAAGAAAGTAATTTTCAATTTCCATTTTATAAAAATTAAAAATTTAAAATAGTTACCAAACAAGATTTTAGTTCTAAAAAAACATGAAAATGAAATAGTTATTCAACGTCCCTTAGTTATTTTTTTGACCTAGAAGTTAATTAAACTCCGACTTTCCGCATTTTTAAGTGGTTTCTCTTTATTGTGTGTTATCTTAATCAGTTAGAATTGCTTGGAAAGACTAAGAACATAAAGTAAAGACATATTGTGCCGGCTAAGGTTTAGTGAAAATGGTATTAGGGCCTAGGCGCGTTTTCTATTCCATTATTTACTTAATTAAGGAAAGTACATATGCATAAGAATTCCTAATAGACTTATGATGGCGTATCCTATTAGGAACTTTTTGACCTTCTTTCCAGAAATGATCTTATTAGGATTACGTACTCTATACATGTTATATAATAGAATGAGCTGCTAATTTAACATTTGAATTATTACCAGAGTGAAAATTAGGTCTTTAAACTAATTTTTTTTTTGTCGAAAAATAAGTCATTGAATTATAAAAATCTGCCAACTACATCCCTAATATTAGATTTGAAACTACTATATTCAATATTCCGTCAATTTAAGTCACGTTACTTGCATGTGATACACATTGGAAGGTAGATTGGTAATTTTTTGTAAAGAAATAATGTATGGAATTAACTTTGACGGGTAAATTAGACGTTAGATTTGCAACCTATATGAAATGTTAATGGGTTTATAAGTAAGAAAAAAGGGTATTATGCTCTAAAGTGTGTCAAGTGACTTAACTTGACGAAAAATTGGATAACATAACTTTGAATGTAATAGGAGGGTTGAAATGATCAATTTTTAGTGAATTTAGGAACTTATTTTACTGACAGAGATTTAATTTTTACTGAGGTGATAGTTTAGGAACTAAATTGACACATCACCTTATATAATATGCTCATTAGATTTCGTAACTTATCGGGTAGAAACCAATAAGTTGCCTTGCTACACATGTAGAGAGATTCAAGAATATTTCTATCGAATCTGTCAATTACTACTATTGTGTGGTTTAATCCTACGAGCATTTTACATTACCATGTGGTATCAAAGCATTTGTTCATATGATTAAAATCGCAAAGAACTCCCATGTTTTGAAATCGCCAACTTGCAAATAAATTTACTGCAAAAAAAAGGTTTTTGCTCACAAAGTCTGAATTATAAGGCCTTAATTTACTTGCATTGCCTTCCATTGCTCAAATTTTTTATTATTTTCAATTGAAAAAGGATAGACGGCCGATGTAGAACTGGTTTCACATAAAGCGAAATGTGCGATGGTTCACGTGAGGTGTCGAGTTGTAGAATGTACAAAATTATATATCCAAAAATTCAAACAATAATACAACATATCCCTCGTAATTTGAGGCCAATTCCTCTTATAATATTAACGGATTCTACGATTAATTTCACCGAGGCCTCTTACGATAAACCTTGTAACTTGGTTTGAGTGCCATGCCTCTCTAAACCTGATGCTCCATCACTTTTATTATTGAGTTTTTATTTTTTTCAAATTTTAAATCCGAGAAGTGTTATTTTTGTAATAGAAAACATAAGCTATGGGCCGAAGCCTTTTCACTTTTATTGGGTTTTCAGTGCAATAGTACACAGCCTTCCGGGCCGGGTCATCCTTAACCAGACCGGAGAAACCAATCCGGTTCACTATATTAGGGATTTCATGCTTTTGGCTTTCCAAAACCAAAGCACTCGTTCATCGGAAGAAGGGAACCAACGTCCAGGAGTTGAACAAGTTCTGTCTTCCGACCAAACGGAAACCTCTGCTTCTTCCGAATCCACCACAACCGGTGAGTCTTTGACTTTACCGATCAGTTTCTCATGTTGTCTTGTCTCTTAATTCTTTTTCCAAGGACAAATTTCATGTGTTTTTGCAATTTGGGGGCTGAACTCTAGTGTTTTGCAATTTGGGGCAGGTGAGGGAACTTTCATAGTACCTACATTTTCCTAGCTGCCAAACAAAATATTAGGGGTTTTGTTATGTCTGCTGGTTTTGTATTATTTGTTGGTAAAAGTGTTTGCAATTGGGATAAGGATTTGTTTATTATATTTTATTCGAGCGATATTCGAATCTAATCTAAACTACGAGGAGGAGGATTCGAAGTGGGATAAGTTACCGTAGCGTTTACTGTGGTTTTAGAGCTCTACTGACTATTTTCGGAGGCTCCGAATGTTAGATTCTTCTTATGTTTTATTGTTTTTGTGGTTGTATGCAAATTGCAGTGCTTTTGGTCTGCCACAATTTTGGGTAGAAATGTCGTCTCCATTGACGCCTTCGAAGAGACCACATGAGGAGAGCGTTACGGAGACTAATGGGAAAGGGAAGTTGCAGAAGTATGAAAATCTAGATTCTAGGCTCTCCGCTGGCAATGTTGCTTTCCGGGTGCTGTGCCCTGCGTCCAAAGTTGATAATGTCACTGGTGAAGGTGGCTCTGTCATATCACAGATTTTTCAAGACACTCTTGTAAAGGTCAAAGTTGAGGAACCTGTTCCGGGCTGTGATGAAATAGTTATTATCGTGGGTTCTGATAGAGAGAATGATGTTGGTAGTGAGCATAGAAAGGAGGATGGCGTTGAAGAGGCAAATGTGGATGAAAAGCAAGATGACGCTAAGGAGCCAAGGGAGAAGGATGAAACTCAGGAATCTGTTCCTATCGAAGATTCAAAATCTGATACTGAAGATTCAGTAACCCCATCTTTGCAGAAGGCTTTGCAACTTGTTTTTGAGAGAATAGTTGAAGGGGAAACAGAAACCGATGGAGGGGATGAAGAAAGTAATAAGTCTTTGACATTTGTTTGTAGGTTACTAGTTCTATCATCTCAAGTGGGATGCCTCTTGGGAAAGGGTGGTAGTGTTATCAAACAAATGTCATCTGAAAGTGGGGCACAAATCCGGATCCTTCCCAGGGATAAACTTCCGTTATGTGCTTCAGATTCGGATGAACTAGTGCAGGTAACTTCAAATATCAATATATATTATGTAATGCTATCAACCATTGCTGCGGAAATACCTACTTTAACGTTTTCCATTACTCAATTTTAATATAATCAGCAGGGTTGTCAAATGCTCATGCAATGGAATAGTGCGGATGTAATATTCCCGCATCGGGTGTAATATTTAATCATTGGAAATTTGCACATTACAGTTGACTTTTGTGTACGTTAATATGTTGACAATTCTGATGCCTAAAGATCTATTTGGACATCATATTTTGATAACTTTGCTGCAGATTACGGGGAACATTGATGCAGTTAGGAAAGCCATTGAATCTGTTTCCCAGCAGCTTTTGGAGAATCTGCCTCGCGATAGTGATGATTCCCTTCCCACCTCCGGGCCATCATCTAATTCAATCGGTCAACCTCTTCCAAGACCAGAAATATATCCACCACCTAACCATTCTCAAGGAGCTCCTGATATTGATCAGCCTGGAGATTTTGCTGATTCCCATTCTGCTGCTCATCGATTAAACCCTAAATTACATGGAAGTGGCATCCCTCGTAGGATGAAACCTTCTCAGGAAGTCCTAACTTTCCGCTTATTGTGCCCTGAAGAGAGAGTAGGCGGTGTAATTGGGAAGGGAGGAACCATAATAAAGACACTTAAGCAAGAGACAGGCTGTGAAATTAAGGTTATGGAAGGCGTGCCTGACTCAGATGATCGTCTTATTGTTATATCTGGTCCTGCGGTATGGTTTTGGATTTTTATTTTTATTGGACTCATGTTGTTTGCACACACATAAGACAAAAAGAGACACATTGACAAATAGAGACACGTACATGCATGCACATGAACACAAACTAAACTGTTTGACAAACGATTTACTATTGCAGCACCCAGATGATAGGATATCACCTGTCCAAGATGCTGTTATTCTTGTGCAAAGTAGGATATTCAGGGCTATACCTAATAGCAAGGAACAATCCATGATGGCGAGGCTTCTTGTTTTCTCTAATCAAATTGGTTGTCTCCTTGGAAAAGGTGGTGCCATCATTGCAGAGATGAGAAAGTTATCTAGGGCACATATCCGCATAATGGGGAAGGATCAAATTCCAAAATGCGCTTCAGTTGATGAAGAAGTTGTTCAGGTATATTTCTTTAGTGCATGTGTGGTTCTTTCAGCCTGACAAGGTTGGCCATATCTCTATCTGGGGTATCATTATATGTGAAGTTGCTGCTATTGCTTCTCAGTTTAGTTGCTGTAACCCTTTATGTGGATATGTGCATGTTGCTATTAATAGTCCAGGAATTCTGACTTTTTTTGCACGCAAATGTTACTTGTTTTGTCATATTAAACAAACTTGCCTTTTTTCTACTCAGCTGTGGTTGTTGCTAAACGGTTCCTCGTATTACAGATACATGGAGAATTTGAAGCCGTTAAAGATGCTCTTCTGCAGATCACCACTAGGTTGCGGCTTCACTTTTTTGGTGATGCATTTCCTTCTATAAATTATCATCAAAATCCTGCGTTTCTGGATCAACCACCATTTCAATCATATCTGAGGAGGGACTTCTCACCTCCAAGAATGCATTCGAATTTAGGCCCATCGTTTCACAAGTTCGATGCTGTTGGTGGCCTGCCCCCTCATGGTAGTTTTCATCCTCACGATGATCGTGCTCCTTTTATGCACAATATTCATAGGTTAGGTGCCCCCCCACATTTATCCGAGAGAAGACCTTGGGGTCCTCAGGTATTTAGTTGGTTTAGACACTTTTATTTTTAGTTTTGCTTTACAAGGTTTCTGTAATTCTCTACTTAAATCTTTTCTGACTTTTGTTGGTTTTTTCCTCTGTTGCTTCAAACTTTTGCATCATATGCTCGTTTCATCTTGAGATAACTTCATGAATTATGTATGGCGTTGATCTGCATTGTATGGTAGTTTGAAATGGGCAAGTCTAATAGTATGTAAGTTGCTGATTACGTTTGTATCCCAAACCTATCCACAGGGACTCCATGAAGGTGGTGGTCCACTAGGCTTGCCAAACTTTCCAGGCGCTCCTCAAAGAAGAATCCCAGGGTTTGGAGGAACCCAATCAGCTATAGTTACCAACACCACTGTTGAAGTTGTTGTGCCTGGTTCCCTTGTTCCTGTTATCAATGGTGAAGATGGTGAATGTTTGAAACAAATACGTCAGGTACATTCTTGATCCGACCAACATTGCCATATTATTAAATCAAGGGCTGTGAGGATACTTGGAAATGGAATGAAGAAACATGGGTTTGCTTACCACTTTAGGTATAAAATTAAATTAATGGTTACGAATCCTGTAAGTATTTGGTGGTGTAGTTCTGCTCAGCTGATTGAGATTTTCTCATAATCGCACTTCCGCATTACTCCTAATTCCATAGAAATAGGTCACCAGTTATTTCTATTGCTGTTGCATAATGTTAATTAAAGAATGTTATGTTCATAGTCTACCTCTGTATTGAATCGGCATAAAAAAATAATTGTCAGGATACAATTGTTGAACTAAAAGTTAAAACCAATGAAGTGGCATAGATACATAGACAAATGGAGAAAGCAGGTTGGTGACACTAAGAAAGAAAGAGGGGCGCGAGAGTGAACAGGAGGGGAAGCTAGGGTTTCAATATTGTCCAATTTTTTGCATAGTCAAGGGTTACTAAGTGTATCTCACTGTGCCTGGTGCTTTCTGATATGCAACAGTCCATGTCTTGTCTTTTACTTGGAAATATATTAAGCAGTTCGCAATATGCCAATAATTGTTTTTATTATTTGTACTAAACCTCAAATTTGATTGGCCTGTCTTACTGTTCGCTTGGTTTGCATTGCATGAAAAAGTTCAACTCAATTTTGTTGGAACTTCGAAGTGTATTTATAGATACATATATTTTGATTATCTATGATTTTGGTAAGAACATGCTTTGTTGAATGGCATTTACACTTCTAACATAACCAACACTGTTCCAGATTTCTGATGCAAAAGTTACCATTACTGAGCCCAAGCCTGGAGCAGTTGAAACTGTGATTATAATATCCGGAACACCGGAACAAACGCATGCTGCGCAGAGCCTTATTCAGGCCTTTGTAATGAGTGAGACTGAATCTTCGTGATTTAGGGTAATACTTTTTTTTCTTTCTTCTAATTTGGTCATCATATTAGGCTTATTATTGGATATATAGACTTTGGTATCATATACTAATACACTGTGGCACAATAGTAGCAAAGTATGCTTTGTTGGTTAGGTCTCTCTTGCTCTCGCTAAGTTGCTTGAAAGAACATTCCATATGGTTGGTAACATGTGCTATTTGAAAACAGTACCTCTGAAGATGAAGATTGAGATCAATGTTGCAGTTCTGAGAAGATTTATCTGAATCTAACAAGGAAAATTCATCGGTCCATACATGAAGAGCTTGAGTTCCTCCTCTTCAAGTTATGTGAGGGATCCCTTTTGGCGCCCATGAAAGTTTAAGAAAAGACCGGATTGGATAATGAGGTTGTAGTAAGTTCCGAAGAAGTTCTAATATCACTTTCTAACCTGGCTTGTGTATCTGAGCATGTGTTAAACTTCGATATAATATGTTGGATAACCTCACCATGTCAATTTTAGGTAAATCCAGTTTGTTCTCTTTTTTCTTCCCCGAAAAGAAATAAAACATGTTCAACCATCCTTTTTCAGGAGGACTCCGATGGATGACTTTAATGTTAGTAGTAGAATAGTAAACAATCCAGATCCTAGTCAGGTGCTTAGATGAGTTCAGATATTTACCTTGTGTTTGGCAAACATTTGGTTACCTTGGTTTGAATTAAATGTCTCGATTAGGACAGTTTTTAGTTAAGGTTCAGGTTTGTATGCTGTCTTTGATACTCGGTTTCGTTTTCTCCCTAACTGTTGATTGCAACATGCAACATAGAATCTATAACCTGCATTGTGCTACGTTGATTACATGTTTCTTAATGATTTTCTTTTATTTTATGCTTAACTGTTCTTGATTAAATATTTGTCGGATTTGTTTGACCGGTAGGGTAAACATTTTTTATGTTCTGATCAGTATAAATGAGTACATAGTGTTTAAAGTTTGAACTAAAAGGTGTTCTGGTTCGACGTCGTTGCCATTGATAGAGAAACTAGCTCAATTTTGTTTACCTGTTGTGAAAATTCAGCCGTATCCAAACCCTTGGTTTTAGTGGTGAGACCTGTAAGGATAAGTGGGAAAAAGGATTAGGATTAGGATAGGTCGAGGGTTCGCTAATCCACATTCCTTTATTTTCTTTTCCAACTCTGGCATATTAGCATAATCAAGGATTAATTACGTTTACTTTTCTTTTGAGAAATACTTTGCAACCTTGACCGGTTTGGTAGCTTCAAACTTTAGGAGATATTTAAAATTACAGACTTCATGAGTTTAGGGTTTTGCTGGAAACAAAGTGATCACACACTAGGTTTGTATAAATAGTGAAAAAAGGACTAGTACTATTGCTCGGTGTGGAAGGGCTTGTATTTCTTGACATCCGTTGCCAGACCTTGAATCGATGCAGCAGCTGCAATGAGCGAAATTACGAGGCACACCCAGCTCAGAATCTTCATCCAAGTCCAGGTGAAAGTGAACTTGGCCATTTTTGTCCTTGCAATGTACATCTCTATCGGGAAGTAGACTGTCAGCGGCCAGAAGGAGGCTGCTCCGAGCAATCCCAGGAAGTCGTTGAAGAACGGGAACAGCATGGCTAGGATTGCCGTCATCACCACGTATGCAGTCCTCCACACCAATCTGAAGGAGTTGACACAGAATTGACCACAGAACGGAATGTTAATGGGGTACTCGCCGTTTATGAACTCGCTTTCCGGCCACCATTGAGCGCAGCTGCTTTCAACAAACCCGAATATGGGCTGGCAGAAGACCTGAACAGTAAGAGTATTGTTATTTATACCATCTCTACTGGCGGTCATATTGCATAGGTAGATTGTTCCACATCTACTAGAATGATGGTAAGCAACATGGTTATGCTTAACAAGCGCTTAATTACCTGGTAAGCACCTTAACAAGCGCTTAATTACCTGGTAAGCACCGATTAGGTGGATGGCGATGCAAATGTTGGCGACATCGACTAGCCAAAAGGGTTCGTAGAATCCGAAACCGGTGAGAAAATTTCCCGGTGCATCATTCCCAAACGCTGCATAACCAACGCATCCGCATAGAACATAGAACACTGTGGTGGTTGTGATGCCAATGCTAGTTGCCCTCTTCATGGCTTTGTTTTCTGCCGGGGGTGATTTCAGTGTGTCCTGCAATTAGGCCAAATCCATCGGACACAGCCATAATCGTTAGGATTATTCTTAGAAGTAAGGATTCTACAACCTGTAATTTCTCACTTTCAATAGTCTGTAGTAATAGGGTGATGATTTCCGCACACCTTTTTTTAGCTTTCAAACACTTTATTTTTTGCTATTAGATTGAATGAATTAAAGAAATAGACAAAATTAAACAGATATAATTTGAGAAACTTTAAAAAAAAAAAGTGTTTATTAGTCTTCTTATAATAATAAAGTACACATCAACTTTTCTGCAAGGTCACGGAAAAATGACTTATCTATCAAATTACTTTGATCACCTACCCCTTGTTTTAGACTGTTTTGGTGAGAAACTACTTTCGTTAGAAGTGCTTTTTTTTTTTATTTTTTTTAATAAAAGTATGTCACCAATGTCGTTAAAAATTAATAATTTATTAAGCTATTCTGTCAAACGTAGTAAAAAACATAGTTTTTTACTTTATTATGACAAAGCACATTTAGTCAATTCAAAAACAACTTTAAACAAACCCTAATTAATTATAAATATGGCTACAAAAAATACTAATTTATTTCCATAATAAGGGACACGAGTGATTTAAATAATCACAATAGTAAATATACATATAGAGAATGGTCCAAAAATCAATGATTAGCATAAAACTCGTACATATTATAATAACCGAACCCTAGAGAAACAATATTTTTATTTCTTTTCTAGTATTATAATATAATTCCTGTCCAAAGTTTAAGGTGCTGATTCCCGGCTGATAAAGGAGCAACTTTAAGGAGATATGACGTCATAATTCATAATTCATAATTCATAGGAGGGAAGGAGAAAGACGTGACACAAATGACAATGACATTTACTATAGTCTACAACAACAAAAAAAAAGGATGGAGGACAAGAAAAGTAGAAAGAATTCAATTTTTTTTTTTTTAATGGTCCAAGTTATTCGGTGGAACACCTTTGATGATGGTCCTCTTGGAATCTTTTATAAAGCGGGCTGTACGGCTAAAAGGGTTAAATAATAACCTATGTGACACCACCTTACCGACATGGATAATTATATATTCTCTAATAACTTAATTACACATTTCTTTTCACTTCTAAATAATAGGCTTTAGATTCGATTTTCGTTAAAAAAGAATTTAAGCTACATTATTATGGTTTACCATTGTGAGGCTTAATCCACTACTTCACCCCTTAGTATAAATAATATCGCTTAATCGAAAAAAAAAGAAAAACTTAATTAAAAAACATGTTTTTAGAAGAGATGTGATTTTTGCTTCTAATTTTTTTTAAACGATATTATCTTTATTAAGGAGTGAGGGAGTCTGTTAGGTATCACAATAGGTTACCTATAATAATTTGATTTAAATTCATCTTTAACAAGAATTGAACCTAAAACCTCTAACTTATGAATGAAGATGATATCACCAGACAGTAGTACTAAATGGTTACTTTCTAATTATTTATAATTTGTAAACTGAATAATTTAAAGTAGGGTTAAAAGACATACAAAAACAAGCGTAAAGAAGGAGAAAATGAGTTCGCATAGATCTTTTTTCTTTAATCGTATGTGACAGTCTCTATGTAAAGATTAGAAGAATTTAAAATCTTTTAACTTTTCATTTTCTTACAAAATTATATTCTATACTATCTTAATTTACAAACAAGGAAACCAAGCATAAAGATCTAAACAATTTTTTTATTTTTCATTTTTTTTGTCGAAGATGATACTTTAATGTCACATCTCGGTATGAGCCTCTCATATTTCGGGCTCGACTTCACCGTAGCATGATATTGTCAGCTTTGGACCCCGACCATGCCCTCACGGTTTTGTTTCTGGGAACTCACATGAGAACTTCCCAGTGAGTCACCCATCCTGGGATTGCTCTCGCGCGAACTCACTTAACTTCAGAGTTCCTACGGAACCCAAAGCCAGTGAGCTTCCAAAAAACCTCGTGCTAGGTAGAGATGAGAATATACATATAAGGCTTACATGATCCACTCTCCTGAGCGATATGGGATGTTATATTTAAAGTATTCTAATTTAAGAAAAGAAGATTCTAACTTATGGCATTTTCGAACCATTTAACTTTATGGTTAATTACAGTGTAAATTAAGCTTCCAAAACATATTCCATTTTGGTGATGTGAAAACAAAATTAAATTTTATGTCACTTTTATTAATTGTCTTTTTGTTAGAATGGATAGGTTATTCCAAAACAAGTTTCTCACTTTGGGTCCTTATCACTTTAGGTTATCGGACCACATGTATCTATGATTTTTTCTAACCAACTTCGGATAAAATTTAACCTAGTTTGCAACTTGCTTAATCATTGAGTAAATTATCAAGAGAGATCCATGCACAAAGAGAAAGCTAGACAGTTCATGCTTTAAAGGGTTTTTTGTATCTACTAAAAGAAAACTGATAGACTAAACTAACATATTTATTGACACAGGTCTTAACATAGGTGGAGCATATCAATGTAAATGAGATATACCTGTATTAGAGAATATGTTAACAAGCATAACAATATTCGGTGTCCAATTTTTCAATTTTTAAAACCGTTAGGAAGTTAAAATGCTTGAACTATAAAGACTGATCATAGATTGAGTCGAGATATGAGTTGAAATAAGGTTGATATGAGCATATTTAATTTTCGACCTACACCTCGACTCATATATCGACCCTATCTTAAACCTTTTATAGGTCTATATAAATATGGAAAACCAGCACAGTTGTATCACCCCGACAGTTAATCAGGCACACATGTCAAGTTGGACGTATATCAATACGGTGCCAAAATATTTTGTTTTGATCTTTGTGGCAAAGGCAAAACAAGCCATGTTGCATGCATGTGAGATATGGATATGGAACCTCTTCCTTCTCATTTTTACTCTCCTCCAGTGTTCTCCTATTCGAACACTTACGATTAAGTCACGTTAACATCTTGTGTTTTTCTCGAAAGAGAGAAAGAAAAAGAAGAAAGAGAGAGAGGAGGAGACTAGAGGGAAGGAGAATGGAAAGGAAGAAAATCCTACTCCGTGAGACATATACCTAAATCATTGATATATGACAAACGAACACGCCCTAGCAAGCCGCGTGTTCACGCATATTGTTATGTTCATTTGCTCACCAAGGTTAAACAATTAGCTTAGTGGCTAATAGAGATTATGTTTCAACGACGCCGTAACATGTGAATTAATAATTTTATAGATAAATGTGACAATTATACTTGAAAAGTTTACTATCGCCTCAAAGAAATACCTAGTGATGCATATTTGAAGCAGTAAACACGTCATCACCTAAGATCGCTAACACGTGTATGTAGTTAAAATTTTGTCCGTCTAGTATTACTGATTGCATTTCTTACAAAATCAA